ACGAACACTGAGATATCCGATCAGAGGTTCCGGAATACATCCAAATTCCCTAGACAAGACTTCTAAGCGTCCATCCCCATTGAATACACCTCAAGGCTTGRCAACCCYAGACATAKACYATGGTTAGTTCGTCCAAACAAAGACTTGTATCACATGAAACCCGAATTTATGCAAACTCAATTTTATATGTAATTTATACATAAGTTTCAAACGTGATACAAACATATACAATCGTGAGTCTAACACTCCAAAACGATCATGTACATAATAAACATTATTCATTTACAAAAGGCAAYGAAATCTACTYCTYWATTTCCWAACYWTCKTTTGGCTRCCYGTGGTCTACCCGCTAATGGTTACCTGCAACACAAGTAGAGTCGTGAGCACTAGTTGCTCAGTGAGTCTAGYCTCCCCTAACATTCYGTAATCAATTCCCAACCAAATCCAAAATAACAATCAACACGCAAGCATGCATATCAACGAGGAATGAGATAAATTATATAGTGACCATATAATTTCAATAAGGCCTTCCGCGTAGACTATTTCCCTTCACGTCAAATCACAAGGTATCCTTCAGCCCGAAGCCACAAAGACTAAGGACTTAAGATCCTTCACCGTTCCAATGGCCTTATMTYTATAAGMATCCGCACCGYAAATTCTGCATCGTCATGCAGTACACGGCCAAAGGCTGCAATCCCGTCTCTCCGTGTCTTCATGTTCTTAAACTAATACTCAACGTACTAGCTAAGTCATGGCTTTAAGGGAACGTCTAACTGCGATAATAATTTATAAGTTTTACGAACAGTTTAAGTTATAAGAAAATTTATAATATGCATCAACAATCCAACTTAGTAATTTTCACATGCTAAAACTTTTAAGCATTACTTAGCAAAAATATTAATCACTCAGCAACGAACCTCACTTGCAAATTAATTAAACACGCAACAAGCATCACCGAGACTCACCTCTAACTTAGTGATCGTTCGTGGTTTTGCCCAAAGTTTCTTACTCTCGGTTTGCCTAAATCTCGAACTAGAACTCTACATAACAAGTCAGCCTAGTTATAAAATCAACCTTCACGTTCTTAAGAGACAAAATCTAAGGGACAAAGCTCACAGATCTTACCTAGATCGGATCAGAACAGACCACGACTTGCTCGCAGAAATTCTCGTTCTTCAGAAACCTAATAGAAACTGAACCTACATTTCAACATGGTTCCAGTCAATTGATCAAGAAACCAAGATTAGAATCGTGACCAGAATGAGAAAACAAGTCGGGAAGGAAAGATTTCGGACTAGGGATGCTTACGCTAAGTTTTCCCAAAACTGTATGGTAAGGCTTGCGGTGAACTGCTCTATGGTTTGCGGTGGAAAGAAATTATGATCGAACAAGGGAAGAGATTTCGCATGTTCTGCATACTGGGTCTGGCCGGCCTATTTATAGGCATGGGTAAGCAGATGAAGCAGCAGGACAGGTCGCGCCCAAGCTGCTCCCACCCATCACTGCCCAGAATGCGACACATGGCGGTGAGGGTGCACTTGACCAGGTGTGTGGTCGACACACGCTGGCATGTGGTCCGCACATGCGACCACATCATTGGCACATGCTAGGCACAAGCTAACTCACAGTCTACCCATGGCTGGAGTAAGCACACTGCTCCGTCACCAAGCAGCCTAGCACATTGCTAAGTCACCGAGGTGCTTATTAGGTTTTCAACTAAAAATGTCCAACTGATCAGGCCGATCAACGAGTCTTTGCCTTGGCTTTTGCTTAGCCATTGTGTGGGTCATTACACCAACCATCTAGTTTCTCTATAAAATCCAGTAATCCATCCTAAAATTAATACATTGCTAAACAAAAATATATACC